AGAATATAAGCGCATATTTCTTTAAAAATATTGATAATAATAATAATAATCATCTTTATTTGAAATTGTGTTAGTATATTACAAAATACAAAAACACAATGCTACTATACATATACATACTACTATACATATACAAATAACTATACTCTACAAATAACCATAACATATAAAAATCGTTACATTATTTTCTCAAAATAGTCTTTTATTGTATAGGGATCTAGTTCTATCAGAAGTGTCCTAATATTTGTTTTAAATCTTTTCGAACTATTTATTTCTTTTAAACTGTTGGGAAAATTGTTATAAAATTTTCTACAAATATAGCATGAACTCTTTTCAGTTAGAGTTAATCTATGTATTGGGTAATTTACATTTCCCGTTCTAGTGTTGTACGTATGGGATGATATATGCAGTTGGAAATATTCCCGATTTTGAAAAAAGAAAATGGGTGACTCGTAAATATAGACACCGTATACTGTCATTAAACCTTTCATCTGAAAAATTCCTGGACAACTATCTCCACACTTCATCTTTTTAATTAGCCTTATAACTCTTTTCTGAACTACAAATAATCTTTGTAGTGTGCTGTGCCCTCCCAAAAAAATAATGCCATATTTTAAAATGGACAGAAAATTGGCAAATTATATATATTTTTTGTATTGTAGTACATGTAACTTCTAACTACTTTAATTCCATAACAAACAGAATTTAACCGTTTTATTAAACTATCAATATGCTCATTCCAGTCTACAAACTAATCTATATTTACCCCTAAAAACTTTACACTATCTACTATATTGATAACATGCTTATCACATTCCGAATGGGGTGGTTTATGCAATTTAGACTGTTTTATTAGAAACAAAATATCGTGTGACTTATCTTTATTTAAAATTAATTTGTTTTCTTTAAAGCAATTGTCGGCTTTTCCAACAACTTACTACCATTGTTCAGAACCTGAGTAATATCTGTACCTCCCACAAGTAAGTTTATGTCGTCTGCAAAACACAAAATGCTTTCATTATTTAGTCCTGTAATCGAATAGATGTCATTTTTATATATTATATATAGAATTGGTCCTTGTATACTGCCTTGTGCGATACTATTAGATTGTGAGTAGTGAGGGCGTCCATTTTTCATAATTTTCACAGACTATTTTCTATTCGATAAATAGGATCTAAACAGTTCGAGCACTTGTCCTCGGACACCATACAATTCTAATTTTTTAAGGAGTAGATCCCTGTTGATGCAGTCATAGGCTTTTGATAAATCCAAAAAAAAGCCAAGTGGCATACCGTCATTTCCGATATGTTTTAGAATTGTTTTAGTAAACTTAAAAAGTGCCGTTCCAGTGGATTTGCCAGACGGTCTCTGATGGTCTCTAAACAAGTTACAGTCAATGAAGAAATCTACCAATCTACCACATACTGCTACTTCAAATATTTTTGAAAAACCAGAAAGAAGACCGATTGGTCTATAATTATCCATTTCTTCCGGGTCACCCTTCTTATATAATGGCTTGATTACAGCTGTTTTTAATTGATCTGGAAAAATTCCATATTTGAAACTGTTTAATAAATGACTGAGAACATTGTTAATATAAGGCACTGATAATTTAACTATGCTTGTAGGTATTTCGTCATAACCACTGCTGTGCTTATTCTTTATTTTATTAGCTATTTAAGTAGCTTCATCTGGTGACATTGGTTGTTAATTGGTATTTTACAACTGAATTGTTTAGGCTCTGATTTTTTGATTAGATCGGGTGTAATTGATAATAAATACTCATTATAACGATTTGCTACTTTCGTAGGATCACCTTGCATTTGAAGATTACTGTTGTTACATTTTGTTCTATTCTATTGTTCAATCTTCTGTCTATATTCTTCAGCTCTGAATGTTTTTAAGAGTTTGCCATTTTCTTTTTTTGTTTGGTTATAGAGCGATTTAAAATAAGTATAAATTCTAGATAGTATAAGTAAAATGTTTAGTTTATTTTTAATATCTAGAACTTGCTGGTTATTTCTATATATATTTTTCCCTTACTAAATTTCATGTAGGCTCATAGAATCATCGATCATCATCATCGATCACACAGGCCTACAAAAAAGTTTTTGACAGATGTTCTTATTTTGAAAATATATTTAATATAATTTTGGTAGGTTGATTTCAAAAATTCTATGCGTTTATTTGTATCCCGTAAGTTTTTTTTGCAAATATTAAAGAAAAAAAAAACGATATTTTTAAAATAATTTATTTTTTTTATTCAGTAAAAAGTGGAATACTAGTTAAAAAAGTGAAAAAGAACCTCTCAGACTATTTTCAGTGAAATGTTCGTCTTTTTGTCAGAAAGCTGCGTTGTCTGGACATTCGCCGTTCCATTTCCTTAATATTCCTAGCTAACTGCTCCAAGTTTTTTAGGAAAATAGTTCAAGTGTGAAAACTGGAAATGCACGTTCAAATTCATATTGCAACCTAGATGATGAAAGCATTGTAACATATTCTAAACAATACTTTCGTGGTTTTCGTCGTTAGGATTCCCAAGAAACTTATCAATTACTTCCTTAAATGAAACCCAGCCGTTTTTCTCGAAATTGCTCATTGTGTTTTGAAAATCTTTGTTCGTATCTTCGTATCTGCGGCCCGACAAATATACCTTCTTGGAAATTTGTGAATTTGAAAATGTTGGAAATTTCTCGCACAAATATTTGAAACTCTGTCCATTTTTGTCTAAGGCTCTAACAAACTGCTTCATCATGCCAAGTTTGATATGAAGAGAGGGCAGTAAAACTTTTTTGAGGTTAACTAAGATATATCTTAATACCTTTTTGCTACCAGGTGTAAGGCTTCTTCTAGAGTGTCATCCTGTTTCAGTCCAATGTCAATGTCTTGACCGACCATCCCACTCACAAAGCATGTAAATTTTGTATAACCCTCCTGTTGTCCTAAGAGCATACACAGCACTTTAGTGTCACCACAAAGTAATTTATCTTCTTTCAAACAAGTCTTAAATTTTCATAAGTTTCTTTAGCCTGGACGCTAACAATTCGGATGCATCCCTCGCAAGGTGCAAATATACAATTACAATATTTTAATTCGCTATGGTTAAACACTTTCGGTTCTCTGAAATCTGGTATGAAATCTGAGTCATTCGGATCAGAATTAGATGGCGATATGATGTTTTCCAGTTCTTCTGGGGTGGTGGGTATCGGCATATGTGGTCCATGAGGAACTGGTCGAATAGCAAAGTCAAGATTGAGATACACAATTTGTTTCTTCTTTTTATTATTAAAATTATTATTATTAAATTATTATTATTATTATTATTAAACATAATACGAACGAGAATAGCAATCATCACTTTGATTCCTACGATCTCGCCATGCCAAAACACTAAAGCTTAAACATTGTTTCCTACCTTTTTGCCAGTTTCTTGATGATTCAATATAAACGGAACAAACAGTATGAGGAGTCCAAGACTTGTTTTGTTCGCCAAGTTTTACTCCATAATAAGCGTTTATTTTTCACAAAAGAAATTATAGTTTGCCTTAGCTTTACTACGACATAACTACCACAGATATAACAAAGGTTGTTATTAATTTTATTATTATTATTACAAAAAAATATTCTAAAACAACTCTATACTCATTTTTTTCCATTATCACGACAATACTCACATCGACTCTCAACTGAAAACCAGGCGTCCAAAATGGCCGAAACTTTGGTTATTAATTATCAAATAATGCACGATTACTAGCTTTTAGTAACTAGTGCCGCCGTTTTCATTGTTGAGATCTGAAACTTTCCAAGTGACCCTCGTACACTTATTTTTGCACATGATTATACCGAAAGTTTCATTCAAAAAATTGAAATTTGGACACTTTACAGTCCGAAAAGTAAAAGTTTTTGAAAATCTTGTATTTTGTATGTCGAACAACTCTGTATATACAGGGTGTACCATAAAAAAAACATAACTTTAGCTCGTACCTTAAAATATATATTTTTTGCAAAATGAAAAATGTATATGATTTCATTTCTATCATCTTATTACGATACAGGGTGTTTAACATAGAAATGGTTACCGAAATGGCGAAATCATCCGGCAACATCTTTTGTTTCTAGAAAAGGCACACAGAGTACATTACTTAACAATCTACGTCCGGTTAGGTACTACTTCGAAAAATAGATTGCTGAATGAAGCTGGACGCGACTTTTAACACCCGATTCTGTGTATTAGTCCGGCAGCTGGTGACAAATTATAAGCCTTCCGTTCACAGAACGCGGAAAATGTGGTTATCCAACAATGGGGCAATGGTAAAAAAATACAAAGAAATCATGGAAGAATGTATCATTTGACTTGGCACTTATCTAGATCTAGATACTTAACCAATTGCGACATGAAAATCTTGTCGTAAAAGAACAGCTTTGTGTTGCACATAAGCTCAATATTATCTATAGAAGTAGCCTTGGAAGAAAGGAAGAAGAAAATGTCAGCGTTATTATTAGTGAAGCTGCACAACCCCAAACTTTAAAGTGATAGAAGAGAATGCAGGCATAAGTTCAAAGTTATTGATATATTGGAAGTTTAATGCGCAATGTACTTAATAGTGACAAAATTTTTCTTTAGAAAATTTAAGCAAACTTCTTAATGCAGTCTTGTTTGGAGATATATTGAAAGTTTTATATCTCGCTCATTTATAATTTTGAGATTTTTAAATTTTTGACGTTATATATCCTTATATATCCTTTCTCTATCTGACAATACCAAATAGTTTTATCCAAGTTGTATATCAAAAATGTTACGAGATATTCATGTCATAATTTTGGTTAGTTTGGTTTTGGTTCAGTCACTGAGTTCTGTTTGGTTAATTGATACACTTTTTTCTTAATTTTTTGAGACACGAATCTTCGAAAGGTGGCGAAAAAATTATTTCCATCGCCAGCTCCCGGACTATGCTACAATGACGCGAGAGAGATTGTTTTCTATTGGTTTTCTGTTGCAGACTTACCGTCACTGGCAGCAACTCATCAAGACACAAGAAACACGAACAAAGGTACATTTAGAAGCCGCTTTTTGTGTTTTAGTTATTTGTGTTATTGGTGTTTCTTTAACATAGAAAACCGATAAAAAGCAAGCTTTAATTGTCGTGAGCGCTTAAAAGTAATATAATAATATACATATATGGTGTCCGAATAAAATGATTTTTGAAGCTGTGATAAATTCATATCTATTTTGTGCGGTACATTTTAATATAAGTCGATGAAATGAGCTTTTCGTACGGTTACTTAATAATAATAAATAATACTTAATAATAATAATACTTAATCAATTAATAAAATCAATAGATAGTCAAAGAAGTGTTCAACAAAGTAATGATAACGGCATCTCAATAACTTTATCCTAACCTAGTATTTGTATTAATGTCTAATGCTCCATAAATAAAATTAACCTGTAGCTGAAATTACTATATTTTGATACCCTAGCACATTTTCAATTAATGTATTATTTTCCCTCACTTTTATTTAATAATTAGGATTAGTCAATTAATCAAAATTATTCAATAGTTGAAGAGTAACTGATCTAATTAATCAATTAATCAATCAATTATCAATATTAGGTATTCTTTGTTCCCAATGGGTTGATTTTTTCTAGGCACAGGATTACGATGGGTTTTAATAAGATGTATTTAAGGTAATAAATATTTAACAAATTTAAACTAATTAAAACGATAGGCAATCTGAACAGACAGTCAAAAGAGATATTTTTAAATGGTTTTCTACGTTTCAATAATAAAATAAATCTATATTTAATAAAATTAGTTAGTCTCCAGCAATTGATTACTGTCCTAGTTGATATATCAATGATATCAAATCTGACCAATGTCAGTTACTGGGTAATTTGGCACCTTTCTGTAATGCAAAAAAATAATTTAGATAAGTATAATATATTATGCCACAAGTATGGTAAACGGCTCGCTCCGCTCGTGCCATATAAGCTCGTGCCTTAAAAAGTTTTTCTACTCCCGTCTGTAAAATACCTAATTACTCACTGATTTAGCGAACGGAAAGCGTCACTTTACCACGTTAGATTCGTTTCCCACGAATCCGACCCATTTCGGACATTTCCGGGATTTTACCGCACGGATTTGGGAGCGATCGGATGTTTTCGGAGATATTTCCCACGCTTTGAATTTTGACTTTTGTCAATTCTGACGGTCATGTCAGTGAATGTATTCGTGTTGTTTTGCGGAAGTGTACCCAAAAACTAACGGTCGTAGAAAAAGTATAGTATGCAATACATTCGGTAAACTTTTTAACACACTCGTTTATTAAAAACTCGCTCCGCTCGTGTCAAATAAACTCGTAAGTCAAATGCCATTTACCGCACTTGTTGCATAATATACTATTACCAAACGTGTTGCATACTATACCTTTTCTACTACCGTTAGTTTTTGGCAAAAGAACACGGTTACGTTCACTACCATGACCGTCAGAATTAACAAACGTCAAGATTCAAGCCGTGCGGTAAAATCTCTGAAAACATCCGATTCCAAACCCGTGCCGTAATATCCCGGAAATGTCCGAAGTGGCTCGGATCCGTGGGAAACGAAACTGACGTGGTGAAGTGACGCTTCCCGCACTCTAGATCGGTGTGTAATTAGGTATTTTACAGACGGGAGTAGAAAAACAATATTTTAATTTGATTTTAAATTTCCTTTGACATCCTAAATAACAAATTAAAATTTTATTTGGTAAATTCAGTATACCTAGACATTAATAACTACCTGCAAAGCGGAACCTTTTGCCCCAATCCAACTTTTTTTTCTTTTTTAAAATAGCACTTTATGCCATGGATATTATTAGATATTTTTGTAGAAACCTAGTTCAAAAATTCAGGATAACAAGCCAGCATTTCCTTTTGGATGATTTACTTCTTTTTTTCAAATTTACTTCCGTTTCCCCTAATACCCATTGTACACTTTTTCTTTACCTGTGGATCACTTTTTTAGCAAAGTTCCTAAGCTCCGTATAGAGGTCCTTTTTAATTAGAACATTTCAATCGACGAACCCCGAATAAGCTTTTTCAATGCCGTATAAAAAAGCAAATCGAATCAAGTTCGCCCCTTCCCCGCCCTACTTCTATTTTTTTTTCATCCCCTCGTCCTTTGAATTCTTTCGCGTTTTCATTCTACCGATCTCCCATCTCGAAACATAACGAAATATAATGCCCTTATCCGACGAGACAATAGAGTGAAAATAAACAGAAAGTTATATCAAAGAGCAGTTTTAGCGCTACTCACATTGTTTGCTCTGCCCCCCCGTTCTTGCTTTTATTGCGCCCCGTACCTCGACTTTTGTGTAACTATAGACGAAAATATAAAAATTATTATCCAGCTTTTCATCGGAAATACGCTGTATACGTTTTCCATTTCCGTAATCCCTTTTTGCCAGCGGAAAATGTTGTGTTCACTCACGCGGTCGATGCATCTTGCGTTACGGGGAAAACAATGATAAATGTTGATGATTTTTGAATTCAGAAATTCATCCATTTCCTCAGGTACTGAGGATAAATATAGGTAAGGCAAAAAACACGCGAAATCTACATATTTCGTTGGTATTTATTTTTATTACAATTGTAATTAAAATGTGTCATTTATCTATTATTTTCGGAAATTTATTTTTGGCGAGGACAACACTGTTACATGCAATGCTCAAAGATGTTGATAATATCTAGAATTAAATATGGCTAAGAAAGTCAAACATCTGGCGCAGTCAGATTTTGCTGAAGCCCCAAATTTAGAATGAAATTAACAGGCAGAGGAACAGATAACGCTTGTAGTGTTAAAGGCATGGAACTGAAGACAAGGAAGTATTTAAATCAAAGTTTAATCGGGTAGCATTTTGCTTTCCCAAAAAAAAAATTTTAAACTTATTTTTCAAGGTCAATGGCGCCCGTGAAAAGTATTAAAGAGGCATTTTGGTTAATCACACTTACAATTTGGTATGATACACTTTTAATATAATCGATTAGATTATAATTTCCAAATATAATCACTGAAGACTTATAAATACTGCCTTTAGGCCATAATTCCGCTGGGTTTCACTCTCCTTTTCATTGACTTTTTAATATCCTTCTGCCTAGGGAAGCTTTTAATAAACAATTATTTACAAGCAAATCTGTTGCTGTTAAAATATATTCCCGTTGTACTCTGTAAAATATACCACAGATATTAATTGTCCTTTAAAATCTTCCATGCGGAGACACCGTCTATATCTTTCAGGTCAAGCTCCTATATAAGGGGTGTTCTTTTTCGATGTATAGAACTTTAAGTTGCAATAAAACAACGTGGATTATTCGATTGACATGAATTTTATTTATCCGATGGATAATCTTGCGCCATTACATTTTAAATACGATTTGTGGCATATGACCGCCACGGCTGGCGCGAATGTAGTCCAATCTGGACGTCCAATTTTCAATGACTTTTTCCAACATTTATGCCCGTATATCGGCAATAACACAGCTAATGTTGTCTTCCAAATGGTCAAGCGTTTGTGGCTTATCCGCATAGACCAATGACTTTACATAGCCCCCCAGAAAGTAGTCTAGCGGTGTTAAATCACAAGATCTTGGAGGCCAATTCACAGGTCCAAAACGTGAAATTAGGCGGTCACCAAACGTGTCTTTCAATAAATCGATTGTGGCACGAGCTGTGTGACATGTTGCGACGTCTTGTTGAAATCACATCTCCTGGACATCATGGTTATTCAATTCAAGAATGAAAGAGTTAGTAATCATAGCTCTATACCTATCACCATTGACTGTAACTTTCTGGCCATCATCGTTTTTGAAGAAGTACGGACCAATGATTCCACCAGCCCATAAAGCGCACCAAACAGTCAGTTTTTCTGGATGTAACGGTGTTTCGACATATACTTGAGAATTAGCTTCGCTCCAAATGCGGCAGTTTTGTTTGTTGACGTAGCCATTCAACCAGAAGTGCGCTTCATCGCTAAACAAAATTCGCTTATGAAAATCGGGAACAACGCCAATCTCGTTTTGGGCCCATTCGACGAATCTACGCCTTACTTGATGATCGTTTGGCTTCAATTCTTGCACGAGTTGGATTTTGTAAGCACGTAAACTAAGATCCTTCCGCAAAATCTTCCATAAAGTGGATGGACACAGATCCAATTCCTGTGCTCGATGGCGGATGGACTCATTCGGGTCTTCCTCAATGCTACGCTCTACAATAGCTTATTCTGTACGCATCGTACGGCGTCTCTGGAGATGCAAGTTATCAATAAGAGTAAACGTGGTGCGAAAACTTTCCATGGGCAATCGAATTATCTGCTCTGATGGACGATTTTGACGACGATAAAATGGACGTAGTGCGCGGTACGTATTCCGCACAGAACCATTATTTTTGAAATAAAATTGCACTATTTGCAAGCGTTGTTCAGGCGTGAGTCTATTCATGATAAATTGCCAAACTAAACTGAGAATAAATCACTTGACAGCTGTTAAATCGGTCGCCATCTTGAACAGTAATGCCAACTTAAAGTTCTATACGTCGAAAAAAAACACCCTTTATATCCGCACAAATATATAACAAAAGTGTAGTGTAAGTGTATAGAATTCTTATGATTTTCTTTTATGGGAACGAGTTACCCTATACGATTCTTGCAAGTTCTTGTTCATGTGTGTGTGGCTTATTTTTAATTTGTAACGGTGAGACGGTGAGTTTTTATAGCGACTTACGACTAACCTTATGCAAACATTTCAAAAAGAGAGTAGGAATTAAAATGAAAGAGTCTCCGTAATGTAAAAAGTAAAAATTTTACTGTTACTCAGTGGACTCAGTAACTCAATGATGTTGCTCAACGAGCAATAGGAAAATTACTTTTTAAAGTGACACATGAGGAGATGCCATCGCGTCTCTTCGTCTGCCATTGAGTCATAAAAATTTCATAAAAATATTGACGAGCCAAGTTGAGCCCGATAGTATCGACATTCGAATTGTTTTTCTTGAATATCATCTGGAAGGGAACC